TGTTACGGATTTAACTCATCGCGCTTTCCTTGCCCGAGACACAGCACATCAAATTAGTCGGCACAGAGACTGCTCATCATGTTATCTCCCTATGGAGAATATCCTGATCGGGAAGGTACCTTCTCTGGCTACTTCTTCTCCAAACTCCATGTCATCAACCCTTGGCGCCATGATGGAAGGTGGACTCACAGCGGAACTTGGGCTGCAAGACGGATGACCCCGCGGAAACCTCATTGGACGGGACTTTAGAGCCTGCATCAGGTTGCAACGCAACAGCATCGGCCTGAGTCACCAATGGGGCGCCGAGTATTCCGTATCGGTCGCATCTTGGACACAGCCGCAATGGTTGAAAGATATAATCTTTCCCTCGAACAGACTTGTCGGAGACGAAAGTTCTCCTTTCTCCTCCTCTTTTTTCAGTTCTGCCTGTGGTCGGGAACTCGAGAACATCCCCTCGAAGGAAAAGAGACCTAAATAAGGTCCAGTCAGACACCAGAAGACACCATGACAGCACACCTCTCCGGTGAAGCTCTCTCGGTCTGGGAAGACGTCGCAGCATTCTGGGACGAGAATTACACGCGCGACGGGAACCAGTACTTCAAGGTCCTCCAGGCACCGGCCATCGAGCGGTTCATCGCTGAAAAGGTCTCGGGCGGGGCCCATGTTAAAGCCCTCGATCTGGCCACCGGCAACGGCGTTGTCGCGCGTCTGATCGCCCGCCACCCCGGTACTACTGTGCTGGCGACAGATGGGGCCGACAACATGCTCCGCATCGCGCAGGGACATGTTGAGGATGGCATGAACATGCGGTTCCGCAAGGTTGATGTCACGAGCGACCATGATCTTGCAGCGTTGATTGCGGATGAGGGCGAGAAGGTGAGGTTGTAGTGGTTGTTATTCGGCAGGCTCTTGTGACGGCTCTTTTTTCTTTTTCTTTTCGCTCCTATTTCCGATGAATCAGTCGAGCTGATGTCCGCAAGACTTTTGACATCGTCACCATCAGCATGGCCATTATGGACATTGCGACGCTCGACCCGCTTGTTCGCGCTCTGCCCAAGCTGTTGGCCAAGGATGGCATGTAAGTCGCGCCCCTTCACGTCGGGGAAAAGCAAAGGCCGAGAGGAGCCGGAGAAGAAGCTGATGGTCTAGCTTTGTCGCTACGGTGCTCCATCCCGTTTTCTTTACCAACAACGCCACCCGCAAAATCGAGATCGATTTTGATCCTGAGGGCAACACGCGAGTCGTCCGGTCCAAGGTGATCAAGGAGTACCTTCATGTGCCGCCCTTCCGGGGTTGGGCAATTCCCGGCCAGCCAAGAATGCAGGTCAGTGCATCCTGTCCATCCTTTCAGAACTTGACGAAACTCAACCGGAGGCAATACCAGCTGTACTTCCACCGTCCCATGTGCGAGCTCTTCAGCACGTTCTTCAAAGGCGGACTGGTCATGGACGCCATGGAAGAGCCAGCCTTTACCGAAGCGGATGCTCGTGAGGATAGGCGCGAGGCAAGCGTCAACTATACACAGCTGCCGGCGATCCTGGCATGGCGGATGCGGCTTGCTGCTTAAGGAGAATTGAAAGGCAAAAGTGGTGATGTGTGAGAAAGGTTTGCTATGGCTAGGACTGCTGGGTAACTTGAATGCATGTCAACATGAAGGTACAGGTATCAAACAGGAGTAAAACTGGGGCGTAAAATTTAAGATTGCACCAAGACCAGAGAACAGAGGTAACTCAGCATATCGCTGATTTAGGAAGAGTTAAGGAATGCACCTTTTTGCGAACTGATCAGAGATATCCCGTCATGAGAGGCTTGGACTGGGGCCGGCTCGTATGCAGAAGATAGGCTACAGAAAAAGATGCCGGCCCAAATTGCCCTCTTCTCTATCAAAAGTATCCCACAAAATACATCCAAAGCCGGCTCCGATGCACACCGGGTGCGCGATCCGGCACCCCGGATGGCGCCACGTGGGTGAGTCCAGGGTGCCGGACGCCGCTCGCCAACGCAGCCAATCACCGACGACGATGCCCAACACAAACATGGCTGGCCTCAGCCCCTCTCGTCGCCGACTTCAACCATCACTCTTTCACCGATATCGACTGAAAGCCGACCACGGTCCCGGACCCGACCACTTCTTTCTCACTTCACCACCATGACTCCAGAAGGGATAGCCCATGGGATACTAGCCACAGGACCCGACTTGGCCACCGCCGGATCCGGGCAAGATTCACATCCTGCATCAGACACAAATCCCCTCGTGGATTCAGGATCCCAATCATCCAGCAAAGAAACCAAACCGAAGACCAAACCGAAACCAACACGGTCCCAAGCAGCACGCAAGAAGCCAGTCCTCGGCGAACCAGCCATCTCCAAGCCCAAGAGAACACGAAAGCCGAAAACCACCACGGCTGGAAAATCCCAGTCACCTGATGATAAACCACCACCACCCCCTCCAAATCATCCCACCGAACCCACCACCAGTCCAACCTCCCAAGACAACGACGACCGCATCCGCTCAGGCCACAACGCAAGCGGCCTAAAGTACAGAAACAAGCTAAGCGAAGGCTTCTACCGTCTGCGCGATGTCCTCCAGCGGTATAGCCGCGGCTTATCATCATCTTCTCCCTCTCCATCCCACTCCCACTCCCACTCCCATTCCCCGCAGGCCCTTGGAAATCCAGGTATGGATCTAGATCTGGATCTGGGTGATCTGGGTGGAGGAGGAGGAGGAAGAAGAGAAAAAGGTCCGGCGGCTGCCGGTAACAACAATAACAACAAGTACTTCAACAAGGCCAAGATGCTCGAGTCGGCTTGTCGGGGGATAGAGGCTCTGAGTGTTGAGCGGGAGGAGCTGGAGAGGGTGAGGAGGGAGTTGGAGAGGAGGGTTGGGGCTTTGGAGGGGGGGACGGGGAGTCGAACGATGGATAAGGGGGGGGAGTGTGGGTCTGGTGTTAGTATGGCTTAGGGTGGTGGTGGTTTGGGAAATATCAATTTGTGGATGAGATCAGAGCAGGTTTAGTATATTGACATCTTGCATTTTGCTTCGAGAAGGTCTTGACGTGCTATTGAATTTCGTCTCATTCTACCTACTGTAATACCTAAGGTATCATCCCTGCAATCTTCCTCGCCACAAGTCAATTGAACCGCATGTTTCCGCTATTCAATTACCCGCAACTATAATTGGGCTAACTGTAAACACCCAAATCCGGTATTCCTACTCTGAGTGTATTTCCTTGGTTGTGTCATGGTCTTGGTGACTCGCACAAAACTGGGCTTGTCCTGGGAAGGTAGGTAGGTAGTTAGGGTTTTGTATGAGACTCTTTTGTATTGTGACTAGGTACAAATAGAATCAGACGCTTTCAACAGTACATCGAGACCTTCTTTCTTGCTTTTGAGCATGGTTTTATTCTCCTACACGTATCCCTATCCCCGTTTCTCATCTCAAAGCTTTAACAGCGCTGCAGCCCGCCCACGCCCGCATCAGTTTACCTACTTGCCCAGGGACTGTTTAACCAGCTGCAACAACAGCGGCCCGACGCGCGAGGCAATAATCTTGTCGCCCGCAATGTTGGGGTGCACGCCGTCGCGCAGATCCGAAGTCGGGAAACCAGTGTTGCAATCGGCGATCAGAATCGGCGAGTCGGTCGAGTTGAGCCCCTTGGCCCAGGCCGGGATGGCCGCGTTGATCTGGTTGACGCCGGCGCCGCCGGTAGAGAGGGGGATGACCAGGTCGACCTGTTTTATTAGCATCAGAATCAACATGAGCCACACACATGACTTTTTTGCATAGGTCGGTAACAAAATCGGGGAGGAGTGAAATAAAACGAACAATAATCTTCATCTTCGGGTTCGCCGCCCTCATGATGTTAATCATCTTGGTATACGCCGCCATGATGTCGGTCGTGCTGTGGCCGCGGAACACGTCGTTGGTGCCCAGCATGAACATGACAATGTCGGCCGGCGTCTTCTGCAGCCAGCCGGTGAGGTAGTTGTTGGCAATGTCGATGGCCAGCCACCCGCTGTGGCCCTCGTGGTGCTCGTCCCAGTTGGCCGTGTTGGGCTTGCAGTTCTGCGGGTTGCTGTTCTGCGAGCCCACGTACTGCACTTGGCTGGCCAGCCCGGCCTCGGCGAGCTGGTCCCAGACGAAGGCCCGCCAGCAGGTGATCTCGGTGATGCTGTCGCCGAGGGGCACTGCAAAGACCATGTATTAGTGTCAAGAGTCCTCCGGACAGGGTGGGAGTAGACAGACTGATTCGCAGCTTGCTGGCCGCCTGGCGCTCTGCCACCTCGACGGGCGACGACGCCACAAGCCCACACAGGGCGAGTACGGACGCGAGTATCGTCTGGGTATGCATCTTTTATTTTTCTTGGGTGAACCTCAAAAGCGAAAACTGTCCCTGGTAGGTCCTGAGCTCTTGGCAACCGTGGTGTCGCGTCTCCCCTTTTATCATCCATCTCGGATCTCCACCGTTACACCGGGCGACCGGGACATGACGAGTTAATCCAGCCGCGATATAAGCTTTTTGACAACTAGCCAATATCCTGGGTGCGATATATAGATTATGGAGTCGCCAGCGTTCCGTTCGGGTATTTAATGGCTATCGAGTATTGCAATTCCCCTCTCTCTCTTTGGTGAACAGCAGCGCAGGACCGGGTGATGTGGAAATAGTGCGGGTGCCCCGAATTAGACTGCTGCCACTCTGCTACGCAGGTTCCCGAGTTTTTACACTTGTGCGGCGCTGGCCCGATTCGGGGACGAATTCGGAAAGCGTCTATATTCCCGGTAAAGCCTGGATAATATCGAAGGGGCGGCTTCGGATCCCGGCAGGCGCCCCATGTGTTGGATAAGGTGGGTATTTTACCTGACAGCAATATGTGCCTGTCCTATTCCCTGTTGCAAGTATATACTTCCTGCCAGTTGATGGGACACCCTTTCGGAAGCAAAAGGGGCTGATTGGGGCATTGCGGAGCTGAGCTCCAAGAAGGAGTGGGGAGCAAAAAGATGACATCAGTGAGATTCGAACTCACGCCTCTTTCGAGACCAGAATGCTACCCGTTGCTGGGCAAGGAGGGTAAATCCTTGAGTCTGGCGCCTTAGACCGCTCGGCCATAATGCCTGGGTTGTTATAATGGAGTATTGCAATTGCTCTACATAATCTACGCAGCACTGCTGGAATAGTATCGCAAAAAAGGGGCCGACTTTACAGCCTCTCAACAGTCTGATTTTCTTGAGATCGTAAGAAAATCAACCAAGAATCTGAGATGGACCCGTTTACGAGTAGCATGCCGAGCATGGCATTTGCATCTCTAGTACACACCCATTTCCGGAGCTCCAACATGTGATGTCTGAATCAAGGCCTCAGACTGTTTAAAACATGATGCGCTGTTGTGTTAGCACTGCCGAAAACGTCTTCAGGTGCCTTCATAACGACATTGGCACCGAGACCGCAGTGCATCCGAATCCGGGAGGTCAAGAGGTGAAGAATGCCCCAAGTCACAAGGACTCCTACTCGCTCAAATTCCTCCATTTGGTATGCCGAGCATTGCACTACGGTCAAGCTTCCGTCTTTCCGAACTGACCGCCGGTGCCCTGTCTCAGTTGATATGAATAGGACAGCCCTAGCGTCCCGGGTGCAGACGAGGACGACCCTTTGGTGGTCGTCGTGGAAACTACACAGTAGTATTTGGACTCCTTTCGGGCCCCGCGGAAGCGTGGGGGAGCAGTTCCCTCGGTTAGACTACAGGTTAGCCCTACCCGGGGAGCGGCACGCTACACACGCCTGAAGATGCGCTTATGCAAGGTACTCGGTAGCCCAGGCAGTGTTGCGCTTGGCGATATGGGTCGCTGCGACCCTCGAAGGAATGAATCACTTGTCAAGTAAACGCCAAGAGAGTTCCCTGAGGTAACACTGTGTGACTTCTAGGCTGGTCTGTTCCGCGAATTAAGGCTGGAGCGTAGGAGTAAGGTCTCCGAAAAGCCGGCCCCTCGGTTGGTTAGGTACGTGACAGCGCATCTGATGATCCCGCGGAATCTAGACCGTTTCCTTCACATTCTCCGTGAAATGATCAGAATGATTTTTGCGCTGGTTCTGTGGTAATCCAGAGAAAACACAGGGCATTCTTTCTCTGGTATTCATCAAGTGCGTCCTACATGAAGCTGATAGCACACAGAACATAACTTACGCATTGGCGGAGGAATGGACCCGGCAATGGAAATGAAAAGCGGGCTGGTAGCCCTCTGCCTTGCCATGTTTCATGGCCAGGGCCGCCAGGCTTGGCAAAGCGCCGCTGTCTCGGATGCGCCGAGACACCGGAGTGAGCCGAATGCCCTGGTATAAGTGCTGCCCAGAGTACTACTAGGCCAGTAGCGAGCTATTGGAATGTATTCTAGATATCCCGTAGTGAGATTTGGTAGCCGCCTAGACCTTAAGCGGGAAAACCAAGAAATACACTACTGGTAGCTCGACTCCAAGTGTGCTTGAGACGTGGTAAAAAGGCACAACAGGTGTCACCATTACCTTCTGGCTTTATTTTGGTCACCTGACGGTTGAACTGGATCTGGTTGAGACCCTAGTCTATGGGTCGAGTTACATCGTCTTGGTACAAGCGATGGAGTCAAAATTCGACATCACGGCTGCGGGCCCAGAACCAGGGACAGAGCATAAGCGCGAGCCTGCACCTGAACCCATCAGATGTGACATGCCCATGTGATATCTACGGATGGAAAATTACGACGTGCAATAATCCAAATAGTGCGATGCGAAGTACCTAGGTAAGTAGTTACCTAAGTTGTGTGGGTATGTAGCTGTTGTAGACTCCGCACACTGAGCCGGCGCGGAGGCGAATGGCGAGGCAGAACCAACAGGGCCTTCCTGGCACTTACCCCTGACTTGAACTTTATGTCCAAGACGTAGTGTTGTAGCTTTTCAGTGCAGAACCAAAATGGGCAGTTGCGACCAACCCTGGTTCCAGTCAAATTCTTCAGAATCCACACAATTGTGGAAAGAGCAGGTAAAGAGGTTTCATCGGGTAACTCCACCTGCGATCGCTTTGGAAATGTCTTGCGCCTGAAAGCGGAGTCTTTCACATTAGCAAAATCCTTCTTCAAGACTATCTTCTTGGCCATCCAACGTCAAAATCCGACCGAGGTCCCTGTGCGATAGCACGGAGGTTCTGAGGAACCATCATGGGTTGGTGCTGGACACATAAAAAGGGGCAAGATGCCGCCGCTCTTTGCAATGCCATCACCACTTCTCGAACCCGAGCCGGTCGCGTTTGTTGATCGCCAACATGCGCTTCCATCTTCCCGCCCGGTCTGGGCTCAGCCAGGCCATCACGATCGCTACTCTTCTCTTCTCGTCACTCGTTTTATCTCTTCCTGCGGCTGACCATTACGCCAATGGGTCAACCATCGCAACCGTCCAAACGTCGGACCTGCAGAAGCGGGAAGTCCCCGACTTCTATCTCCGCATCCTGCCTCTCGGTGCGAGCATTACCTGGGGCATGGGATCTTCGGACAACAACGGGTACGTCGATGGCCATGGCGAAGACGCATTGCGGGCTGACAGCGACGCATAGGTACCGCAAGTACCTCCGTGACACCCTCAGACAGGCAGGGTACAAGGTCAACATGGTGGGCAACCGCAACAACGGAGATATGCTTGACAATGTAAGTTGACGGGCTCGCTGTGTACTCTCCGTCGCTAATGTGACTAGGATGTCGAAGGCACCTCCGGCCATCATGTCAGCCAGGTGCATGCTGCGGCTCTGACTGCCACCAAGTACAAGCCAAACATCGTGCTGATCAATGCCGGCACCAATGATGCCCGAGAGCACGACGACATTGGCGAGATCGGAGAGCGCATGAACGCCTTGATCGACGACCTCCAGCGGGAGATCCCAGGCGTCACCATTCTCCTCTCTACCATTCTCCGCTCCACCAATACTGAAATCATGAAGAATTGGCTGTCCGTCAACATCCAGTATCAGCACATTGCCATACACCGCCGGTACGCCCTGAACCAGAAGGTCATCCTGGTCGACTTTGAGAAGCCTGGCTTCGACTGGAACATCCCTCTCAGCCTGCTCGGGGACGGAATTCACCCCGTCAACGAAGGTTACGAGCGAATGGCGGCAGCCTGGTATCAAGGCATTCTGGAGGCCGACAGGGCCGGCTTCCTCTCGGCGCCTGCACAGACGAGCTTCGCCGATGACGGATCGGGCCAGACGTCCAACACATGCGACAAAGTGTACGGAGTCTCTCGGGGCCCGATTCAGACCCAGGCTGGAAGCGGGCTCGACGACGGCTTGTACACCCACAACAGCGCGTCCCGGGGTGTTCGGGTTATGCTGTACAGCTACTCCAGCGTGAACCCCTTCGTATTTGCGCGCCTCTCGGCGGATACGGATCGCCACTACATTGTCGAGGTAACCGACCGAACGGAAACCAATGGCCGTTACCACACGTTCTACAGACCTACCACTGCCGGCTCTTGGGAAGTGCCGGGTGTTGACTTTTTGGTTCCTGATGGGTGCATAAGACGGTGCGCGGATTCCTAGCGACTTGCCATGATGCTGATAGAAAAGCTAACTTTGATCCATAGTGGTGTCCGGTGGCACGATACCAACGCTGATGGCAGGGACGACATGCTCTGCGTTTCTCCCAACGGCGACACATACGTCACCCACAACCTCGCCCTAGACTCGCCAATGCCGCCACCAGTTCCAATGGTGTTCAGTGGTCTGTGGAAGAGAAACGAGGGCTACGCCCAAGACCGCGTCCACATCGCCGACATTGACGGCGACGGACGGGCCGACTACTGCGTCGTGCAGGACAATGGAGACGTGAGGTGTTGGCGCAACGGCGGTCAGGGTGACATGCCCGAGTACTGGCAGCCTATGGGCATCGTGTTCAAGAGCAAAGGCATGGGCGACCCCCTCGGCGTCCGGTTCTACGACATCAACGGCGACGGCCGCGATGACTGGCTGTGGATGGACAACACAGGTCTCACGCACACCTACACCAACAACCGCGGCTGCACCAAAGGCAACGAAGGCCAAGGACTGACGCCCAACTGGCGGGCGGCCACGAGCAACCCGACGCATGCTGGCCTCGGCATCGCCAACATCCGCGACCAGATCCACTTCGCCAACGTCTACGACTCGCCCGCAGCTTTTGGCCTCAGCGGCAGAGGCGACTATGTCCTTTTTGAGCGAGGGAGCCAGACGGCCTTTGGCGACTACAGGTATGAGGTCAAGGTCTGGCAGAACCTGGGCAGCGGCGGCAGCAAGCTCAAGGCCGATGGCACACGCCACTGCAACATGAGAAGCAACCTCAACGGGGCCGAGGATCTTGTTTGGGTTCACTCGACCGGATACATGCGCATTTACGAGAGCAAGGGCGGCTCCTTCTCGACCGCCCCGTTCTGGGGCCCCAACTACATCATCTGGGACCTGACGGCCACCCGCCAGATGGACCGCCGTGATCTTCATCTGGCCGACTGGGACGGCGACGGGCTGTGTGACATCATCTGGGTGCAGCCTGGCGGTCCGGTGGTAGACGTCTGGATCAACAAGTTCGGGCAGAACCGCAACTTCAACACGTGGGAGTACCGGCACGATGTCGGCCCCAAGAACGGCGTGTACTGTCCGAAGCGCGGCAAGGGCATCTTCGACCTTGGGGTCCGGTTCGCCGACCTCGACGGCAACGGGATGGCTGATATGATCTGCCTGGAAAAGAACGGCCACGCGTCCGGCTGGCTCAACACCAACGGCGGCAAAACGTTGACCTGGCACCAGCAGTTCAAGTTCTCCGAGGGCAAAGATCGAGCCAACCTGCGGTTCGCCGACGTGAACGGCGATGGACGGGCAGACCTACTGTGGATCGACAAGTTCAACGGAGACACCACCGTCTGGTACAACCGAGGCCCGATCCCGGCGTCCGGGAGCTCCTTCACGTGGGATCCCAAGGGGAAGCTGTTCCAGGGAGCCATGCAGGGGTCATGCACCATGTACCCGGATCTCGACGGAAACAGCCGCGCCGACATGACAGCCGTCGATGCCGTCACCAACGAAGCGACAACGTGGTTCAACGACTGCGGCGGCCGCGGCGGTGATG